CAAACAAAAAACATGCACAACAAACAATTTAGAAGTCCCCGGACCTTTCTCAAGGAAACTCTTCAAGAACGATCGTGATGACGTCCATCAGTGTGAGGGGTGTTGATGTTTACACACTGGTCCCCCCACTCTCTTTGAATAAAGAGGAAACCTAACACACACGTGAAGACACACTGTTGCATACATAAAGAATATTTTTTGATATCTGTGTCACAATTTAGCAAATGTGTGAAAAAATCAAATACTGTGACCACACTGTTTGTTAGTGTTAAATAAACACCAGCTCTTCTTCTACACTTAATGAGGTTTCTCACTGAGTCCAGTTCCTGACCGTGGGCGACAAAATCCAAAGGACCACGAGATAATAAGACTCAAAATAAAACGGGAAAATACACAAAATTAAGTTTATTTTCAACTTTTCTCTTAAACTCTGTTTGCTCTTAATTTGTCACAAAGAACCAGATTTCCAGCCTCGCGGTTGTTTCCTCTACCAACCAATCACATTACAGGAAACCCGGTCTCAGTCTCTCCTTCTGCTCCTGAGTTTCAGCAATGAATAATGACCAGTAGTGTTTCTACAGAACATTATGATGTCACAATGAAGTTAACCTCTGACCTTTTGGATATGAAATGTCATCACATCATCATTTTAGAGCCAAGAGCGTGTTTAGTGAACATGAACCTGAGTCTGACCTTCACTGTTAAAGACGAGGGAACGATGTGTCCTCACAAGACACAAGAACAAACACAGAGTAACTGCACAAGGACACAGTTGATCTCTGAAAGATGAAGACTGAGCCGCAGGTCAGTTTATAATCAGTGAGGCAGAGAGTCACTCATAGTGTGTGTGTGTGTGTGTGTGTGTGTGTGTGTGTGTTACTACTGCAGTCACCCTGCCAAGGACAGGCTAGTCACACACACACATACACATAGACACACTCTGCAGGATAATAAATCTGAGTGACTCTTTGGAGAGGAGGGAGGAAGAGGACAAGGATGGAGGAAAAAGGAAGGAAGGGAGGAAGGAAAGGAAGGACAACGGGTGAACAGGTATGATATCAGATGATGTAAGATAAGCAGCTGCTTCATAAATCTCTCCATAAAAGGAAATTATTCACAGTCACACACGTGGACTGTCAGACCACAAGTCATGGCTCTGCAACCTGGAGCTGAGGTCAAAGGTCACGAGACTGACTGAAACTCAGTGTTACTGTTGTAGTGAAGCAGCTGAGAGCAGGGACTGCCGATGCGTTCAAGGACACCGACATGTACATGAACACTGTGGAGAGGGTCGTCCATAGACACTGAACATGTGACCTGCCTCAAGGACTGTCACCCACCGCACAGCCCCAGGAACCTTCTCAAGGATGCATGAAAACTGTGACCCTTCAAGGACGCTCATAACTTCCTCAAGGACAATGCTAACAGTTCTAAGACTGCAGGAACCTCCTCCAGGAACCATGACTCCTCCTCCAGGACCCCCTGGAACCTCACACTGAGCTGACGGAGATCAGTTAGTGTGTCTGTTGTGTAAAGGCTGGTATGTTTATACCACACACACACACACAGTATATTATATATTATGTTTTCCATCCTAATGTAAATATTGGAGTGGTGTGAACGGTGCATGTCTGTGTCTCTGTATGAACCGTGTCACTGTCACAGTCTGAGTTATGAGGCCTGATGAAGAGAGACTGAACAGCAGGGAACAAATTATAGAAAAAAATGTTTTTATTGTACTTTGATCTTTCATCACAGGTATTCTCCCTCAGGTAAAAGTGAAGGGGTCTATTTAAATTTCATGAATGACCTGATTGTGCAGATGCCTGTGATTGGACAGGGACTGGCGCTACCACAACCACCCCATGATAAGTTGTAACTTGTTCTGCAGCTGGGGGATCGTGGTTATGAACAAGGAAAGAAAATAGGATGAATAAATTATACTGCGCCTATGATTTTTACTTATGTATACATGTATGTGGACATGTACAGTATGTATATATATATATATATATACACACATACATACATACATATATACAGGTATATTGCCTTGTATGTAATTTATTTATTTATAGTTATTTACCTATTTTTTAGTTATTTTGTTTTTATTGTTTATTTTTATTTGTGTATATTACTCAACTTATTCTAATTCTTGTCTATAATCAGTTCAATCTATATGCATAACTCAATATTTAAAGTTATGCTTATTACGTTTTATTTTTAATTTTACCAAGACTGTTGTGTTATTAGTGTTCATTACTATTAACACTAATTATTATTATTGTGTTATTATTATAAACCAAAGCAGTGTACAATTTAAAATGTGACCTGATGGTGGCGCTAGAGGAAACGTCGGAGGATCATCAGAGTTACTGCAGTTCATCCCCAGGGGAACATGAAGGTCTGAACAGAAGTGTTGGACCGACTGGCTGTCAGAGCCACAGAAGAAGAAGAAACTGCAGAATGCTCCTTTAAACTCAGAGTTTGGCTTCAGTCCCTGTTTGATAAATCAGGTGTGAAGCAGCAGAGTCGGAGTGAAGGAGGTAACCTTTACACAGGACATCACTATCTGTGAGAACTCAACCTTTTCTCTTGATTCTCAGTGATTTAACACAAGTCGCCCTCTTCTTCCTCCTCCTCCTCTCTGTGTGAACATCCAGACCTTTCTCTCCCCTCCTCGCCTCCCTCCTCTCCCCTCCCCTCCTCTGTCCAGCTCAAACTGGCTGACTGTGTGAACGAGACCTTTTCAGGTGAGAAGAAGAAACATCTCTCTCTCCCTCGCTTTGTCTCTCTCAGCAGTTTGTCTCCGTTGGTGAAGTTCAGTTTGAAAAGAGACAGTGAAGTGATGAAACCTCCTGCAGTGACTCCGCCTCCTCCTCTTCCTCCTCACTGCTGCTCCACAAAACATTTCTACTTTTTATAACATTAACCGTCTGTTTCTTCAGTCAGTGAGAGAAAACAGACAAATCACAGGTCGTCTCCAAATGTCTCGTTTTCTCTGAACAACTCTCCAACACCCAAAGACGTAGACACGAGGAAATATTTAGTACTTCTGCTTGAAAATGTCTTTGTTGATTAATCTATTCAATTAATCACAGAATTCAGAGTTGAAACAATTAATGGATCAACAGACAGTAAGCAGCAGATATTATTAGTGATTATTGATTAATCTTCCCAAACATTTTGTGTTTCAGTGTCTACATTGAGGAGAATTTTCTGCTCTTTCTTCTCTCTGTTTGCGGTGAGTGAATGAGTGACATCTGTGGTCAATGATACACTTCAGACTGAGAACAGGTTCAATGATAAAACTGCACTTAGAAACACACGTTTCCCCTTGTTCTCTCGGCTGTTAAATACTTTGATGTCACAAAGTCCTCCATCATCAGTCCTGTCCTGTCTCTTCTTATTCTGTTTCTAAGAAAATCAAGAGTAAAGAAATGTTTTCAACTATGAGAGAAAATATTCCTACAATTAATGTAAGACAGGAGAGAAATTAGAAACAAGATTTAAAAAAAAAAAAAGTTTTAGTCTAAATTAAGTATAAACTGTGAAAGTAGGAGTTTAAATTGTAAAGGCAGGGCGTAGGACGGGGTTGGAATTAGTAAAGAAACTTATGAGATAAAAATATTCCTACAAATATTGTAAAATAAGGGATTTGGTGAGATTAGGTTCAGATGAGCCAATGGGTACAGTTGTGTAGACGGGGTGGATACAGGAGGAGAAAGAGCAAAGGATGAAGAACAGTGAAGTAAAGATGGATGAAGAGTAAACACTGACAGGTCTGATCAGAAGAACGGAGCTGGTTAGGGTTACACAGAAATACAGGGTCAAGATGGAGGTAAAGGTGGATACAGGATGGGATCGATATGGGCAGAAAAAAAAAGATATAGTATAAGGGAAGAAGAAGAAATGGGAAGGGACCCACAGGAATATAGTGAAGGATATAAGACAGGACACGGACAAACGGTCAGGTTAGTGGACAAAAACAAAGATATAGGATGGGACCTATAGATACTGTATCTATGTATGTATGTGTAGCAGCTGAGTCACACAAGTTACATATGGGATGCGATAGTTAAAAACATTTATATAAAAGGGAAAGATAAAGGAGAAACAGTAGCAGGTGAGAAAAGCTGAATGAAGATGTGTGATGGGAAATGAAAAGGTTAATGATGTAGGACAGGTTGGTCCCACATATCATACTGTATATGATGTGTTAGGATGGATATATGATGTATAATAAATGATGTGTCTGACGGTTAAAAACGCTGATAAAGAATGAGGCTGGTGCATTAAAACAAGTCGTCCTTATGACACAGAGGTGTCACAGTGTGAGTACAACACTGATAAGACACACAGAGTTGACTGTGTGACTTATCAGTGTTGTACTCACAACTCATTCAGAGGCTGCTGTCACACACACACACACACACACTGTAATGAAAACTGATGAGTTGAAACCACTGCTGGCACTGATCAATAGCACAATCATCAATAATACAAAACTATCATTTCATCATTATGCTGTCCACTCTAATTCACATATTAATATTTCACTGCAAATAGAAACCACGCTCCTTCATGACTCAAGCCCCACCCCCTCTCCAGTCTACTAGGCTGTTCTGGGGCTTATGGGAAATGGTGTTTCTAAGATAAGTAGAACGTGGAAAGCTTTTTAGTTGAATTAAATGTGAATGTGTTTTACTGGTTTCACTGAATCAATTAATTGATTATCAGAATAGTTGCAGATTAATTTCTTAATCAATAAAAATTGTTGCAGCTCAGCCTACAACAACCTCTCCTGATAGCTCACAGTAAGAAACTGTGTTAGCTACACTTAACAACTTACACTGAGGAACAGAAACAAACCACAAACAGGCTGATAGGAGAGGGGCGGGGCTTCAGCTAGGAAAGGGGCGGGGCCTGAGCTCTCTGCACCTGCTCCCTGCAGGTGTAGGCCTATATATGTGTATAGGTGTGTGTGTGTCTTGCCTCACCTCCTCCATTTTTGTAGCACAGGTAGGGGAACCTCCATACGTTGCCGAGTCCCACAGCGAAGCCGACGCAGGACATGATGAAGTCCATCTGCCGCGTCCATGTCTCCCTCTCCTGGTACCCTGGTCCCGCCCCCGAGACCACGACTCCTTTCTTGTCCGGGCCGGCACAAGCACCACCGACCACGCCGCCACTGCCGGACCCCGCCACTGCCGTCGACAGTGGGAGGTTGCCGTTAGCGGCCGCGGGAGGGTAACCGCCGCCGCCATTAGACAGGATGAGGGGGTTCTTCTTGGTCTCCTCCAGGAGGACCAGAGAGCAGGAGGAGGCTGGCAGGGCCTGCTCCTCCATCAGTCCACAAACTAGTCAGGAACCAGTCAGGAACCAGTCAGGAACCAGTCAGTCAGGGGTCCTAGTCTCTCTTGGATTCCCTTTAAATCCTGCAAATTTTTGTTCTGTTTCTGTCCTACAGAATCTGGTCTGGTCCTGCACCTAGACTAACCCCAGAAACCAGTCCACCAGTTAAAAACCAGTAACAAACTAGTCAGTAAAGGAGCAGTCTGCACTGGCTGTTTGAGTCTTGCAGGTTAGGATGAATTCTCTCCTTCTTTTAGTCCTAAAAAAGTTTGAGTGAAAACCAGTCAGTAAAGGAGCAGAAACAGTCAGCACTGTTTCACCTCAGTCTCTTCTCCCTTTGATTCGCTGCTTTCTGTCTCTATGAGCTTCTCTCAGTCCCAGGATCTGTACTCACCTCAGCTCCTGCTTTCAGAGTCCCAATACCCAGTCAGATACCAGTCAGATAGCCTACCAGTCAGAAACCAGTCAGAGGAGGAGCAGTCAGCTTCAGTCCAGATCCACTTCCCCTTTCCCTCAGTTTTCCCTTTAATTTCGCTCCTTTTTTCCTCTTTAAAGACTCAGTTCTCTTCTTGTTCTAGTCCAAGAATCAGGTCCGTCCTCACCTTGAGTCCAGCAGTCAGGAACAGATGAGTCAGTCCGCAGCAGCTCCCCGTCCCAGTCACACCGCTTCAAGATCTCTGCTGCTCCCACCGTTATCCTGTCTTTCTGTCTCTGTCTGTCTCTGTCCTCCTGCTCAGTAATAATTACAATGAATATAATTCTTCTTCTTCAGCAGCAGCGGTGGATCCAGAATCTGTTCTTTTATTTACTGATCCAGATCAATGAACTCAGATTGAATGAAGGACACAAATTGAATAATCTAATAATAATCGGGAGACATTTCTTTCTCGAATCCAAAATAAGAGGAAATGATAAGATAGAAAAGGTGAAAATAAAAATAAAGGAAGTTAAACCGACACTGGGACAGCGACCTTCAAAAACAATCCACGAAACACTTGAATGTGAGTCTGAAGAATCGCATGGGAACAGAGAGTCACGGAGGAGACGGCGGCCTGCTGGAAGACAGAGAGGACGGAGAGGACGACAACCCCGCGATGATCACTCTGTCAGGGGGGAGGACACCGAACGGCGGGCAGCTTCAGTCCCGGAGGCGGGCGGCGGGCGGGCGGTGCAGTCTGTGGAGGAATTGCTGCAGCTCCATCCGAGGAGGAGAACAGAAGAGAAAAAAATGGACCTGAACGCGTCCCGGTCCTTGCTGCTGTCAAATGTCCCGTTAGAGGTGCTCCGAGGTTTTTAAAGTCCTGCTGCGGTCCGTCTGTCCGTCCGACCGGCGGCTTTAAAAGGAGAAGCGGCTGCTTACTGTTACGTCACAGTCCCCGCCCACTCTCCCTCCCTCTCTCCAACTCCTCCTCCCCCATCTCTCTCTCGCTCCCCCTCTCTTTCTCTCTCTCTGCAGTCAGTCCACAGCATCTCTACTGGATTCAGGTCTGGGCTCTGACTGGACCACTCCAGAAGGTGGATTTTTGTTGTGAGGCCTGGTTCACATCAGCTGATGTTTCTCTAAATGGCTGAGTCAAAGTGTCTCTAAGCCACGCCTCCAGTCTGGTTTCACTGACTGGAGTCCAGGTCTGATAAGGACAGGTAGCTCCAGGTAGCTCCAGAGATTAGACTGTTGTCATGTTGTCCAGGTGTTCCACTGTGGACAGAAACCACCTGCAGACCCTGATGGGGACGTAGAATTAGACCATGTAGATTTTGACCATCGATCCATCCACTCTAAATAACTCAGCTGACTTGGAATGAATGCGGGGGGGGCAGAGGCTGGAGCTGTGGACTGAATCCTGTCCTCAGAGTTGATCAGGAATTAAAAATGGAGAGAGGAACTTGAAGGAGGTTGTTTTTTTAAACATGTGCATTTGCTGTTCATTCATTATCTATACTCACTTATCCCAGGCAGGATCATGGGGGGTGCTGGAGCCTGCCCCAGCATGCATTAGGCAAGAGGCCAGTCTGCCAGCCTGTGCTGTGCCAGTCTATCACAGGGCTGACACTGAGCTCCACCATGTTTCTGGTTTATATTGAAACGTCAGCAGCTCAGGTCCGGTGAAAGAAAACTTAAATTGTTTTAAATGAAAAGGTCAGCAGTAAAAAAAATCAAAGCTTGTGAAGTAGAACTGTGTTTGATTTCACTCAGGCTACAGTGAAACACCTGAACAGTACAAAACAGCTAAAGCTCTTCTTCTTCTTCGTCTTCTTCTTCCTCTTTTCAGTAACAAACTGCATCACAGCAACACCTGGTGAGACTGACAGCAACGGGTTGTATTGATACATAAAAAATGTGAGCAACGACAGAAAGTTCTTCTTCACTGTCACACAGTCGAGCCTCAGTGAGACGACGTTGAGTAAAGTCTCAGTTTTCCTTGTACAGACTGAAACTCTTCAACATCTGCACCCTCTGGAGGGAGTCTTGGAAAAGCTCAGTTTTAATCCGAAGAGAGAGGGAAAGTAGAGTCTGATGTGAAGTATCTGCTCTGCTGCATTAACACTGAGGACATGTGTGACCTCCTCTGGTCCCCCTTCAGAGGGCGGAGTCTCTGACCTCTCTGTGACCTCACTCTCACCCTGACTGATGACACACGGGAGGAAGAACCTGAACTACTCTGACCCCGACACTCCCTGGGAGGAAGGCTTTTAGAGGAATCCACTCAGCCTTACACTATCCCAACATCATCATCATATCCTACAAATCAGTTTGCAGACTCATCATTTTTTATCAGTCTCAGTAGAAATTGTTAATATAAAGACATTTTCTACATATTCATCCTGTTTTTATCATTAATAGTCATATATTCTCCGTCTCTGTGTCCTGTCATTTACTGCATTCATTATATATTATTACAGATTTTTTAGTTTTTTGGTTTTTATTTAATTTTTAAACTTTATTTTTCTGTCTGAATCTTTATTGACGACAGCAGCAACACAGCAGCAGAGAATAGGTCTAAACCTGAAAACAAGCCAACGGGGACTCCACAGCACAGAACTCCACCGCTAGCGTTAGCAGCGATGCTAGCATAACAGGGACATACATCTTCGACCTGCTTGGACGAGATCCAGGTTGTAGTCTCAGGCCAGGGACAGTGTGTAACTCCAGTCTAATGTGGAGGAGGTTCGGTCAGCACCTGGAGCATCTTGAGGCTTCATATCCTCACTGAGCGAAGACAACAACTGGAATCTAAACTCTCCCATGTCAGACGGACGGATCAGGAGAGTGAACATTCACACTTTGTCCTCTGAAGCTGCTGGACAGAGCTCACCACAGTCTTGCAGCCAGACCTGGACCTCAGGACAGACCACATCCTGTCATTGTTCACTTTCATCAATCACCAGATCAAGGACTTGGTAATGAGGCAGACATGTAACCAAGGTGATTTGGAATAACACGACCTCAAGGTCTGGTTTTATGAGGACTACAGAGCAGATGAGAAGAAGAGGACGACGACCGTCTTTCTTTATCTGGTCGAGTCTGTGATGATGATGATGATGATGATGATGATGATGATCATGAACATCATCATCATCATGATGATGTTCAAAAGCTTCTTTTCAGCGTCCTGAGTCACTAGAATCAGTTCATTAAAAGATTCATTCAAAAGATTTGTCTATCTGAGTATTGATGCTGACCATGTTCCTCCCTTCATGGCCACAGTTTACCATCTTCTAAAGGGATAAGGATAATGCTCCATGTCACAAACTTGTTTCATCAACATGACAGTGAGTTCAGTGAACTCCTGTCACACACACAAACACAAAATACAAAATGTCTATATGTAAACAACATAAGCCACGAAACACCTGTACCAAGTTCAGACCGTAACCTGTGTTTATGTCTTGTGTTACTGTGTGTAGACTTTGCTACCGCTGTCTGTCTAACCTGTCACCTCTGCCCCACTGTAGGTAACTGACTGGTGAAACTGTCCATGAGGTTGAACTGACCACAGACACACAGGATGATTTAACTCACACACATCTGCTGTGTTGTTCAGTGGCGTGTTATAAAACTGTGTACATGCCGTACATGATGGATGGGAGCAAATGAACAGATTCTCATGTTTACGGCTGTCATCGGACGATGAGAGGGATAAACATGCTGAGCACTGACAGTATGTGATATTTATCAGTCCAATAATAATTTGATTTCTAAACCATGTTCCAAGTCACTTCACCTTTACCCGTCCTGGTTTCATCGCTGCACTTCGCACCTTGCATTATGACCACACACTGCACCTCTCTATGACTGTGGGCAGGAAATAGTTTTCAATGGACAGAGTTCAGACCACTTCATATTACTGTGGTGTTGATTTTATTGTAAATGGATCAAATTACTTTTCTTCTGATTAATCTTTGCTCAGTAATCCATAAAGTAAAAACCTGTTTTTAGATTTGCTAAATTTTTAAATCAAAAACTTAAATCTCTCATTTACTCTGAACCGTCACATTTCAGTCCCTTTCTGTCCACCTGTGGTGAACTGATCTGAGTGAACAGAATTTATAAAGACTCTCTGTAGACCTCTGTGATCAAACTGTGGTGAGACAGAGATCAGGACAAAAAGCCCCGAGTGTTCCCAGGAGAACAGTGGGAACAAGAACTGAACACGTCTGGAACCAGGACTGTCTCCTCTCTGACCTGGGTCAGGGAGGAGCTTCAGAAGTCCTTTGCAGAGATGGAGAAGCTGCTGGAAGGACAAGCGTCTCAGCAGCTCTACATCAATCAGGTCTTTATGGTCGAGAGACGAGACAGAGACAGTGAGAGTAAAAGACATGAAACAGCCTGCAGGAGTCTGACTGACAGCAGCACAGGTGAGACGTCCCACACAGGTGCCTTTGAAGCTGACGACACAGATCTACCTTTTGTGAAGAGCTTGAATGAGTTTGTTTGTTTTACATTAAAACCTGTTTGAGATCAGAGTTCACAGACTGATCTAGACCAGAACAGAGCCAACATTAGACATACTGACACACAGACCTTAGACCTGCAGAAGTAGGACCCTGCTAGACCTGGTCAGTCTGAAAAGCATGATGACCTGACCAGACTCTGGTCCAGGATCAGATCTCAAATACCAGGAACTGAAACCTATGAAGACCTCCAGTTAGGTGTCAAAGTCAGCGGACTAACAGAGTGGACTACAGGTGTCCGCCTGGAGACAGTACTGGACCCAGAGTCCCCTCCTCCCCCTCCCCCATGTCCTTGATTTCCTGTTGTCACTGTTATATCTTGACATATGTATATCTTGAACTTGAGTCACACTGTGTGCAAACACACACACACACACACACACACACACACACACACACACACACACACACACACACACACACACACACTCCTCAATACAGTTTGTAGTCCAGGAAGTTAAAAGTCACTTCTCAGTAAATCCCCAGTCAGTCAGGAAGAAGGCAGAGAAAAAAGGGATCTGTCTATTACCT